AATTACAGAGAGAGAGAGAGAGAGAGAGAGAGAGAGAGAAACGGCTGAAAATACTAGAGATTACGGATATTATAGAGAAATGGATTTCCGTCGGCGTGCAAACGCAACGTTGCGCGAGAGCGGGGCAAGCTCGCCTGGAAGATAATCCAAAGGTTTACGCCAGCACAATTGTGTACTCCATCAATCCAATGATTTGAGTCCGAGCGCCCGCCCATCCATTATTGCCGACGCACGGTTAGTAATAGCGTGCGAGGGGGGGGGGGAGGGGGAGGTCACTGTAAATGACTCCATAGTAACCATGGATGCATAAAGGTAAATCTCTCGCACTCGATACATACACGGTCCCATTATTGCCAATTACATCGCGCGGGAGGGTGTTCGAAGCGCGGCGCTCGCGCGCCCTCTTAGCGATTTCCCACAATTTCGCCATAATCCACGCGCGATATCACAATTCCTGATAAAGCGAAGGCGCAGCGGCGATTACGAGAAAGAGCGGGCGGAAAGGGAAGGAGCGTTTTTCCAATTAATATTCTCGTTACTCGAAATATCGAAAGGAATGCACGACTCTCCGGCGATCCCCCCCCTTCTCTCTCTCTCTCTCTCTCTCTCTCTCTCTCTCTCTCTCTCTCTCTCTCTCTCTCTCTCTCTCTCTCCCTCCCTCTCGGTATTACCTTCGCCGCGTTACATCCGCCGATTAACTCGGCGGAATAATTCTCTTTCCGGACAATACCAGCGTAATCGCTGCCGACCTCTTGTAATAAGGCACCTCTTGTAATGGAAAATTCTTTAACAAGGTGGGAGAAAAAACAGCGGCCCGCGAGCCCTTGTTCCGGCCGGCGCGCGCGCGCCCGCGAATTTCTCGAGAAATAAAGATGTTTGCTTTACCTTCTTGTCTTTACCTGGCCCGCGCGCGCGCTCGCCCTTCCCCCCGCCCCCGGTGCTTTCATTTCCTCCTATCATTCGCAGCTTCTGTATTTGAAGTATAGCTACTTCCCTCAGTTTGACCAGCGTTTCCATTCTTAATTTCTTCGCTCCCTCTTCGCGTAACGGCGCCCCGCGGCAACTTATTAGTATGCAGACCTCCCTCGCGATTCCGCGCGAGCTCGCGCATGCAAATTTTTTATAACGTGCCTACAACCGTCGCCGTAGTCGAATAAATAGCCTCCGTAGCTACCGTATCGCCGTGAGCGTGCGCTCGCGCGGTGATTTTGCACGCGCATGAGTTGCTTCTTACGCGAAACACGGCTTCCGTTACAGCCGTTGATTTTAAACGTCGGCACACCCGGGCCCCGGCTGTTACTTGCAACAATCACGCACAATGGAGCAAGTCCGGAAAAAAAGGTACCGCGAGTATAAGCGCTCTTATAGATGACTATCTCGATACAGAATTCCTCCCGCCCTCTCTCCCTCTCTTCATCCCGATCTTTGCTATATTCGTAATTATAAAAAAATCCTCCACTTGCGTGTCAAAATTAAAATGTACAACCAGACTCGCGTGAGAACTACGATGAACGGTGCGGTCGAGAAAACGGACAGCGGATAATCGACAAAATTTCAGCAAATTATAACGGGAGGATAACCGGTCTGTTGTCGCGATGTACATCTCATTGAGTGTGTTTAGCAAACAAACTTCGCCAATATCGATAATACGAGTCGGTGGCGTCAGTTGCCGGCGCGACTCGTGCAAATAATCGCGGCACACAAGTGACGCTTTTCCGGGAAGGTCAACGCACCGTGTGCCGTGGGACGAGCCGATATCTCGATAATGCGAAACTAAATTGGCAAAAAGCGTAATTAGAATAAATCTGGGACGGGAGCGAGGAGGGGAGAGAGGCACGCGAGATATTTTGTTGAGGCCGAATATCTCTTCCCGCAAGGGGCTGGCGGAGGGGTGGCGCAGAAACTCATTTTTTTTTTATCGGCGTCCGGTTAAACGGCGCGATTGTTCCGGACCGTCCAACCGAACGCAATCGGGTATTTCGTTGAAAGTTTCAGCGGCGCGAGCTGCGCGCGGAACATCTCCTGCCGCACTCTTTTTTTTTTTTTCAATCACTGCCCCCAAAACGATTGATCTCGAATGAATCCCGTTGTGTAATTCGGACGGTGGGCCGTATCGGGTCGCGTTGTAATCTCATCGTTATGATGGTTGGTTGTACTCGAGCGGTGAGTGGGCGATTGATTAAACGCAATTACGGTTATCCCTATGCGAAAGTGATTCGCAACTATTGACGTCGGCATAATACGACTTGTTCCCAAGTTTCGATAATTGTTCCCTACGAGTGCTGCACAGAGAGAGAGAGAGAGGCGGCCGAGTGCATCAGTCCGTCGAAACGTGCGTTTCGGGCTCGCCGCGATGGTAAAATGCACGGCGGAAAGCGCGAAAACCGAGAGCTTGCACACGTTCGTTCCGTTGCGCGTAGAACGTCATTATAACGTCGCGCGCAATCCCGCTCATTAATATTGTAAAGGAATGCAGACATTGGTAATAAAAGACTGGCGCAATGGTATTACCGGCTCTCATCGTTCTCGCAAAGAACGTAATATTACGCTCGCGGATTCGCTCTGCCGTTAAGACATTATCTTAAAACTCTTTTTTCCGAGAGAGAGTCTCGGTTCTTAGTTTAACGCTACGATGCGCAGTTGAAAGGGACTATAACATCTTATTCTATTTAAGCACTCGCAACAAAAGAAACGCCGCGCGTTTTTGTCGCAGGCTCTTCAACGGGAAAGCTCTTCAGACAATCGTCGCAACGGATTTAATAACAAACGGCAGTACAAAGAACTACCTTTTACATGCAAACGCACACACAGCCGACGCCAGTGAAAAATACATGCAATTCCCGACGAACTGTGACCTTCTCTCCCCTCCCTCCCCCTCGCACCCTCTATCTCTCCTTCCCTCGTTTCTTTTCCTTCGACGACGTTTCTGAGTCCGTCATCGAGTGTTTGAATTGAATTTAGCGCGCGATTATTCGTTTTTTCGAACGCCTGACTCGAGTTGGCGTTAGTAAAGAATCAACGGGCCTTCCTTTCCCATTCAGAATCTCTGTAACGAGAGAGAGAGAGAGAGAGAGAGAGAGAAAATCTACATTTCCCGACGAAGGTATCTAACAATCCCGAAAATGGAAAGTAAACGCTGCTTTCGTCGGCTGCTTTGGAAGATCCATGGCCATTATTGAGGTTGTTACTGAACACGCGATAGCGCTCCCTTAATAAGCAAACTGCTAGACAGTTGCCTGCTCGAGTCGCGACAACAGAGAATATTCGCGTCTCGGAATTCGCGTTTCCACGTCACGGCCTTTTCCGATCGCGCTCTCGCTCGTTACGTCGCGTCGTCTCGCGTTACGCGAGCCGAATCACGAATTCTTGAGCGAGGCGTTCACTTAAGGAAACAGTCCTGTAAATGCGAGCCATTTTCTCGGGGTCTACAAACCGGCCGGCGGGAGTGCAAGGCACTTAAATAAGATTGGATCCCGCTTATCTGCTTTACGAGCTGACATAAAGCGCGGCTGGTATTCGCATCGACGCAGCCGGGGCCGCGCCGCGCTCGGGCTACTGATATCAATTAAAATCGATTTCGTTCCGCCCTGAAAATCGCGATGCGGAGCCTGTCTTCGAGGTTGCCATTGATCCGTCGGATCGCTCGTAAAATAAAGATTTGGCCGGGGGAGTGCTGTGAGCGCCGCGATCTCTTTCGAGGGTTACTTCGCCCCATTGTAACCTCCCAGCACCACGACAGCGTGCGCGCGCCACACACACACACACACACACAGCGCTCAAGCGCCACGGTACCGCAGGGGCGGATCAGCCCGCGCTCAGCCTGAATACTGATTCTCGACGGACGCATATATTACCACCGCGGATAAAAGACATTTGCATTTTGATGGACTGCGCCGAGTGCATTTGACGTTTCGTATGCATTTCTCCGGGCCCGCGCGCGCGCGCGCGGCGAACACGCGTGTGTTAGGCGCGAGCGAGCGGGCGCTCGTATCTCGCCACTGCCGTGAAAAACTCGGTCTTACCCGTATTTATCACTCAATGTTGCACGCCCATGCATATAGCCGTTTGTATTTATCTCACGCCACGAATCCTTTGAGTATTCCTACAATTCCTACAATGAACTCGCGCGCGAGCGAATCGCGTATACGTACGAACGTAGTCGCATCTTGTTGTATATTTATGCACACACACGTGGAGAAGAAACCTCAATAGGGAAGCGCCGAGAGTGACGGTGCAAATCTGCAGTTTCGGGAAGAATAAATTGGCGAACTTTGAAAAAAACACATTTTCCTAGTGAGCTCTGAGAGAGAGAGAGAGGGGGGAGAGAGAGAGAGAGAGAGAGAGAGAGAGAGAAGTGTCAGATGAATACGCGGGTAGTAATCACACTCGAGTAATCGGGGGAGCGAGAGGAGGAAAGTTTCTCTTTACCGTCAAGATATTCCGTATTCTACGCGCAGGGGATACAGTCCGACATGATCGCGGCAAAGGCAGGCGCGCCTCTAATTCGCGTCGGAATATAAATCCGGCTGCGTGAGCTTCATTCACATTCCCCGGCGCCAAAAGCTCGGCGAAAAGCGCGGAGAAATCAATTGCCGAAACTTCGATATCGGGCTCGGGCGAAAGCGCGGAACGAGCGCGGGATTGCACGGACAATGGTGCGAAAGAAGTGGCAAATTGAAAAACCGCCCCACGACCGAGAACAGAATCCGGCGGAGCGCGGCCGAGAGCGTCCGGCGCGCTCGCGCCGGCGGCGGCGGGGCGGAAGGAGAGAGGGGGGGGTGTGGGTGGGCTGCAAAAGCCGTAATATCCGCCGAATATCCTTCGGCTCGGTCCCTGATCCGTCCGTGACGGAAAAGCCCGCGGTAATAACCGGTAATTCACATTCAAACGCACTCGACCGCCGGCGCCGGAGACCGCCCGACGGAAAATAATGACTCGCCGCCGCCGCCGCCGCCGCCGCGATACGGCCGAGATATAGAAAATACTGAATCGACGCACTCACCATTATCCTCGAACGCTTCGTCCTCGACGGCGGCGGTGTAACGCACCAGTGAGTCTCCAGTGCGAAATCTCGATTCCACGCGCTTGCACTGTCACAGCTGCACACGTTCTCCTTCAGAACAACCGTCCCATCGCAATGTAACCGACGATCGTCACACCGCGCGCTTCTGCCGAGGTAGCGGCATTCTTATCCCGATGAGCCAGCAACGTTCGATCGTAGGCAGCATGTCTGCGAACAAAAAGCGTCACATTGCGTTACTTCACGACAGTCACGGCAGGCATGTCTCGTGGATTTGCGAGAAATTCAATTGAAAAGCAGCCGCGTACGTGCGGCCGCGTAAATAATGGCCGTATCCGAATGCTCAGCTTTGCAACTCGGGCTCGCTCGCGATCGAATCGATATGACGTTTCCGTGTAATCGATGATGATACTTCAGGTTTTCAATGTTCGATTCAATAAAGACTGGATATTTATCGACATCGACGCGCAGCAGTGACGAGATTCCTTGGATATTTTGTCGATACCGTGTCGATATCTATATATCAATTTGATACCTAGAAGATATCATACAGGGGTGTCGACCGATTATTGATGATCTAGTTCATATTCAAATCGAGTCGATATATGGATATATCGATTCGAACGAGTACGATATAAGCTGGGTAACGATTAAATCGTCGACACCTGCATAATTTATTTATTTATTCACGAGATAAATCCCCTTTTTTCTTTTCTATAAATTTTACAAAAAGAAAAAGGATAAGAAAATTATCTACATAAACATACAAAAAAATGGATACCGGTTTTCATTCGAAGGTAAGGTAAATGTCCCAGTAACCAGACGTTTAAGCGTAGGTCGTCACAAAAAATACAATATATAATATTAAGAATAGTTTTTATATAAATGTTATTAATGAAATACTTACACAAGTAATATAGCACATTGTATGTACGAATGACCGGACAACTGAAATAGGTTACGGCCTAATATTCAGATATAATTTATCCCAGTGTTTGATCGCAATTAGAAAATTAGTATGTGTTAACGGGAAATAATATAAATATAGATGCTGTCTCTTAATAAATTTATTAACGATTGACCATTATTTTGCCAAATCATAGGTACATATTTATTTAATTAATTTTTATTTTAATTTTAATTTATTTTAATACAAAAGTATCAAATTGGGTATATCTTTTTCCAACTAATCGTCAAATATTGCCGTTTTTTTTACAATAATTATTGCTTTCATTCATTATTGTTAAAATAAATAGTAAATATTTTTTTTCACAGTGGTTGGATAGTGTAACGTGTCCGGCTATTGGGACGTTTACCTTAAGTCATAAAATGTTTTTCAGATGTCGCGATGAACGTTTAAATTGAGAAAATCGATCGTTGACTTTCACGCCTCACGATATCAACCTGATCTCAACGTGTCTCGAGCGGATTCTCCATCGACTTCTCTATCTCCAAGCATACAAAGCTCGCGATTCTCTTGCGAGTCGACTGACACACAACGTACATGAGCCATCGAGCGAAAGGTATGTCGAAATATACACAGACTCGTGTTTACGAGGGCACAGCGCCTCTCTCTCTCTCTCTCTTCTTTGTAACCCCAATACCAGCACGTGGCCCGAGGATACAACCCGAAGGTTTTCCCATGGCGCAGCTAGATATAGCGAGCATTATCTTCGCTTACAGGTAAGTAACCGAGAGAAACTTGAAGCACGAAACAGGAAAATTACTCCTTTGACACGTTGCAGGTAATCGTGGAGGAAAAAGGCTGCAAGACAGGAGTGTGGGCGAAGGAAATGGGTAGCCGGAGAACGGAGGACTTTCAGCGAAACTTGCGAACCCGAGGGAGCGCTTGAGAAGCTTTATAACTTCGACAACCTTAAATCGGCAAAACTGCCGCGCCTCTGGTGGCCGTAGAGCGCGTCCGAGAGACGGAATGAGGAAAGCGCGGCAGCGGGGAGGCAAAGTCGACGGGAAGGACGCCCGGATGGCCGGGCCGCGCGATGGAGGAGGTGCGCGCGAAGAAGTAGTTGCACGTATTCCACTTGGAGAGATAGAACGAGGATAGCGCGGCATGACTATGATTCCCCTCCATTCTCAGTCTTCATTGATGAGACTATCTACCCTCGAGAGCTCAGCCGGTTCGATGCCGCGCTGCGGCTGCTCCCGACGCTACGCGCGGCGCGCGACGTGCTATCCATATTTCCGAAACTACGTTTCCTGTCAAACGACGCGATTAGACAGGACGTTAGAACCTAATACGTTTCAACGTCTAACATTACGGCGTTTCGCGCAACGTCGTCGACGTAGCGGCACGAGAGAGAGAGAGAGAGAGAGAGAGAGAGAGAGAGAGAGAGAGGGAGAGAGAGAGAGAGACACGTCTCGCACCCGATCGGGTTTCGCCCGGATGTGAAGATTTAATAGCGCCTCCGCGCTGCGATGTACGCGCTAATTACGAGAATAATCAGGAAGCCGTAAATTCGAATGTAAGAACCTGTAGCTAGGATGAAACGCGGCAAATTCAGAGGAGAAACTTAACGTGTTCTTTCTCGAAATACCGCGCGCCGGTTGCCGCATACGCCCGGCAACGTGAAACAACGCGCGCCGTGTGTAGCGCAAATTAATTACACGTTATGATGATGTACAGCGCGTCTCTAGAATAAAACAGGCGGGAAGCTGCGCAGCGTGTATAGGCTAAACGTTATATATAGCGCAGCCGCGCGTGTGCGCAAAATTATATTGTTTCGCGACAGTACGAGGTTCGTACGAAGGTTCACGCTACTCCCTCTGTCACTATCGTGAAATCTATTCCATTAAAAAACACGGTAGCGCTCGATGTGTGCCGCGCGCATTAAGATTAATATCAACCGTCGCGTATCTCTCCGCTCTCAAAAGTACCGCTTCGTCGCGCGACATCGAGGAAAAAGGAGGAACGATGGAAGCGGCGGCGGCCGCCGCCGCCTCTGCCTCCCGTCTCGTGTAACATTAAAACGCCGTACGCGACGCATGCGATAATCGAAGGTAGAAGCCAGCGCGTGACGCGCGCGAATTGACGCCGCTCCGTGGTCTACCGGGGGTCGGAAAATACCTGCACATCCCTTAGCCGGCCGTCTGCACGACGAAGAGTCGGTCACGCCGGGGGTCGCGACGGCCAAGTCACCCCTAGGCGACTCGCCTCCGTCCTCGCGCCCTCCGCGTTCCGCACGCTCCGCTCGTTCCGCTTCCACCCCTCGGAAAAAAACTCAGGCTTGCATTTCAGTAAAGAGCCAACCCATCCGCGTGCATGGACAATGGGACCAGACGCCCAGCCAGACGCCCCCGACAACGCCCTTTCTTTCGGGCAACGCGTGTCTGCGTGCTTGCCTGCGTGCGTGCGTGCGTCGTGCGTACGTGCATGCGTGCGTACGTCGTGCGTACGTGCGTGCGTGCGGTGCGTGCGTGGGCGTGCGTGGGCGTGCGTGCGTGCGTGCGTGCGTGCGTGCGTGCGTGCGTGCGTGCGTGCGTGCGTGCGTGCGTGCGTGCGTGCGTGCGTGCGTGCGTGCGTGCGTGCGTGCGTGCGTGCGTGCGTGCGTGGCGTGCGTGCGTGCGTGCGTGCGTGCGTGCGTGCGTGCGTGCGTGCGTGCGTGCGTGCGTGCGTGCGTGCGTGCGTGCGTGCGTGCGTGTGTGTGTGCGCGCGTGTACATCACCGCCGGCGAACTTCAGCCGCGTCTCATCCTCGCTCTCGACGACGGCGTCTGGCTGCTTTTTCCGCGACGATGCTCGTCCGCCCCGCGCCAGACGTATGCACCGCCGCCGGTACAACGGCGCGGAAAACAATTATCTGTCCCACCGGACGAGGACTGCACTCCGTCGCGCGACTTTCGACGTCGCGCTCATAAATCCGAATTAGAAAACGACGCGAACCATGCGCGATCGGGGACTTCGTGCAGACGCGCACAATGCAATTAACTCTCGCGTGGTCGAAAGAATCCAATCTCGACGAGAATTCAATACGAAAGAGAGAGAGAGAGAGAGAGAGAGAGAGAGAGAGAGAGAGAGGGGGGAATGAGAAAGAGAGGCACAGGACGAGACGGATCCTCCGTTTTGTTCCACACGGCAACGCCGTGTCTGCGCCTGTCGCTTTATGATTTTCTCACGCGGGGATTACGGTACGCGACACGACGTAACGCGAGAATCGCGCGCGCGCGCACACACACACACACACACGCACAGCTTCTCGCGCAAAACACGCGTAAAATAGAAGACACGACTCAAACTGTCTGGCGTGAGGTTTCACAGTGGTCGAAAACGGCGACGTTCCGCTTCGAACAAGTGTATGCGTGAGCGGTCGCCACCCTCTTCCGCGCAAATCTCCCTGTAACTACGTCTCGCACCGAACTGACGAAGAGCATTTACCAAAGTACTGGCATTCACGCCCTCGGCGAATGGCGCGAAGTAACGCACAGAACAGAAAGTGCGAAACAGGAAGCCACCAGGCCCTTTTGTTTTCGACGGCGTTTTCTCTGGGTCTATCTCTTCCTCTTCCTCTTCCTTTTCCTCTTCCTCTTCCTCTTCCTCTTCCTCGTCGGTTCTGCTCGCTGCCGCACAGTTAGCGGCCATGTACACACACGTTCGGTCAAAATGGTTCCCTCGTTTGTTCTTATTTCATTCTTGCACCTTTACCGCGCGCGCACGCATCGTTCGAAAGTAACGCCAGCATCCATCAACAATAATGCTGCATCCTCGCGAATGCAAGGATGTGGTTTACTTCTGTCGCGGACGAGCGCAAACCACGAAGGTGACTGCCAGCCGTCAAGAGTTTCCCGCCGGGAAATGTTTCTCCAGCTCGCGAAACAAAAGTCTGTCGCGCCGTGAATCGCACGATTACTAAGTTTACATGGTCATTTTGATACAATCGAACGCGACTTACATAGAAATTCTGTTCCCCCGATTTATTTTCGCTCCCCAGCCGATCCGTTAAAAATTATGTGGCGAGGCTAGCTAAGATTAAAGATGGGTAAAAGCACAACGGTACAAAAAAATTGTGAAATAGGAAAACAAGAACAATATTCTTGATACAACTTTGTTGTCAATTTTTTGTTTCATTTTCAACCTTATTCGCTCATCATCAACAAAAGTAATGAAACAGTGCAGGAAATGTGGAACGACAAGTGTCGATGCGATGGATACACCTATGATAACAATATTAGCTAAAATCGAAATAATTAAGATAA